GTTGCCGGGAGCCACGCCTCTTCCTGGAAAGTCTTCCAGGAAGTGGCTTTTTAGAGTCAAAGTGGCCAGGTTCAGTTGGAGAACTGGGTGATAAAGCCTCAAAATTGTCTAAACCCAAGGCGGGCAGGAGTAGTGGGGTTTGCTGGTGGTGGAGAGACATGGTGGAGAGAAAAGGGCTGCAGGTCCTGGGTTGTCAACAGGCTGCAGGCTCACCATACCCACACTGCAGAGAGAGGGCTCAGGGCCTGTAGGCTGAAAGCTAGCCACCTCTGGAGCGGGAAGGGAGCCAGCAGGCTGGGAACCAGGGGGGGCAATAAAATCAAAGAGGAACTCTGGTAGTGAGCCCCACAGCCAGGGTTTTTCTACAGCTACATCGAGCGCGAACTTCAAAAAAAACTGTTTGAGGCAGGGATCACCAGCCTCCTTCCAAAGTCCAAAGAAATGAATAATGTGATCAAGATATTGATACGAGTCCTCCTCCTCAAAAGGATTTATGGGAGATGCAGGCAATGAGTCCGGGCCAGACTCTGTGTCTGCTGGGTTCATTCTTGGCTGGATCATACTGTCATGGTGGGCAATCGGGGAACCCAGGAGCAGACACAGATCAGGCTGACAGGCAGGTACAGTGCAAAAGGATTTTAATAAGGCAGAAACAAAACTGAAAACTAAATACAAGGGTGTAGACTAAACAGAGTGGGAAACAGAACGAAACCAATAGACAGAATTCAAAAAAGGACGAAACTACAAAACCAGAGAAAACTCCTACTAAGAACGGAGGGGGAAACCTAACGGATTCTAAATTACAAAAAACCAGGAAAACTCACACAAACAGGAATACTCACTACGGAGGGAAAACAGAGGGGGCAGACAGGCTCAGGGAAATCCAGGGAGAGGCGAAGTGGAGACTGGCAGAAACGTGCAAATGTAATGTCTATGATCTGGCAGCTTGTGGTGGAATGAACCAATTATTTATAGGAGCAGTGGTGATAGTGTGCAGGTGAGTCCGAAGTTGCAGCTGAGGGTGATTGTCCTGATTAGAGCCAAGATGCACAGGGGCAGAGAGGGAGAGGGGCAGAGAGGGAGAGGCAGACAGGAGGGAGAAGAGAGGGAGAAAAAGAGGGAGACAGGCAAGGGCTGGGGGGTCATGACACTGACATGGTTAATGTCTGATAAATAATCAGACTGGTTCCATATCAACTCCATATAATTTCAGTGTTACTATGAAAATATGACATGTCAAAATGGCCACACGGTTAGTTGTTTTTTTATTCTAAATTTTACAAATATAAATGTGGATGGACATGATAAATATACCTCTGACAGCAGCCTGAGGGAGCCACAGGCTTGTTGGTACAACTTGTTATTACTAATGAGAGTCAGTGGGGGGAGACAAAGACTGCTTTTTCTTATCCAGAGGACCAGTGTAATACACATCTCAGTTAAAGGAAAATAGAAAAAAATGTATTACACTTGTTTTGGTTTAAGTCACAATATGAATCGAAGAATAAGAAGAAACACTAAAGATTAATGATGACTTCATCTACTATATAAAATGTTCTAAAGGTAAAAGTCATTAAAACTCAGCTGAACAATGAAATTCTAAATTATTTGAGTGCAGAGTTTGTACTATCTTAGTTACGGGTCTGTTCACTGTATGTTCAGTCAATTTCAACATGGATGTTGCTGAAATCAAAGCCATGCTGGAGACAAAATCTATTCTGCAACACATATTAATTGTACATCATTGAAACAACCTTCAGGTTGTCTTGAATTGCTTTTGACTGAAAACACTTGTTGTCTAACAGTCTGGAAACATAAAATTGCATTTCGTATCTCTTCACTCTCATCCATTTAGTCCCCTGCACAGTTCAGGCATCTACCCAGCCAGTTGAAAACTATCATTGCTGATCTTTGTTCTTATCAGTGAACTTATGGTTGAGTTTAGTCCCACATCTTCTGTCTAATTCATCAGCTCCTCTCCTCCATCTATTCTCCCTCACCGACCCTATTTATGTGCTCTCATGCAATCTTGTTTATTGCTTCTCAGGATCTGCTTTCATGTCACCAGTCTAATCCTCCGGCTCCCCTGCTTGGTGTTAACAGGGGAAGGTGAAGAATGAAAGATCCAGAGCAGCTGAAGGTATGGTACAGTTTGGATGCTTCACATGACAGTGATGGATTAATGTTCCTATGCTGTAAGCATGTATTTATACCTCATGGCTTATCGCTCGAGTACAACACAAAGCAATGCAGCTTTGCAACAACAACAAAAAAGTGTGTTTTTTTTCCTCTCGGCTTAAACATGCTTGTCATAAACAAACTTGGTTCATTCAGCTTGAGTGAGGATCTCCTCCATTCTTACATCTTAATACATAAGGTTCTGCAGGGCAGTTATATAGTAATAAATACTCTTTGTATGATGGATGTTTAATATACCTGCTTTGTTGCCAGTGCTCACAGCAGAGTGGCTAAGCCTGAAGGTTTTGCAGACGCTGTGGTATCCTGCATTTCAGGTGCATGTGCTGATTTGTATGTATCTGTATTCAGAGGTTAAATTTAAAAAATGCAACAACACTGATTGTATTCCGTGGCCTACAGTGATCCAAGTATAAAATATCAGTGTCTAGATCTTATATCGTGTACTGACTAAAAATATTACAGTACATTTCATCTCATATCCTTCACTGTCAAATTTCTGTTTAAGGTCTTCAGCTCTTTCTAAACTCATGAAGATATTGACTGTCAGGCAGCGAAACTTCAACATGTGTTTTATTCAAATAAAGGCACACAAAGAAACATTTTTAAAGTGCAGAATATAAATATGACACCAGAATTAACATTTTTTACAATGCTTCAAGATATATATGACACCACTAAACAATATTAAACCTTTAAGGCAAGTAGCAGCTTAATAAATATGCCTTTTTATATACAACAATTTTGCATATATGAGCTATGAGGCTTTTTTGAAATGGGAATTCAATGTATTGCAAACAGGGTTTAAATAGAAATGAAAGAAAATGGCAACTTAAAATACAAATTCTGTACTTTACTCCTCTTTTTTGACTAACAAGCACGATGACTTTTGTCCTACCCAGAAACCCGGCAGCATTCTCCCCTTGAAGGAGCTCTTGATGTGCTGCAGCAGTCGGACCTCCTTCCTGCCTTCCGCCCCCTCACCCGCTTCTTCAACTGCGTAAAAATTGACTACACCCGCAGGATGATCGAGGTAAACCCCGATGGTGGTGCACTTGGGGATATCCCAGATTTCCGTGCTAATGCCATTGAACCACAATTGATAGTGTGATCCGCCCCAGCCAAGACCCCAGGACTGTTCGTTTTCTCCCAGCCCGCAGGGTCCGTCGCCTCCCCTCCTCCCTGCTCCTTCATAGGTGACTCCAGCAACCACCCACCCCGAATAGTCCACTTCCCAGTAAGCTCTGAAGCCCAAGATGCCTTCTTTGCAAAGAACCTTAAAGAAAAACAGGATCAGTTGAGCTTAAAAACAGCAGCTCATTTGGAGATTTGTAACTACAATTCAAGCCTTACCTGTGGGACGTGTTCGTATCGCTCTGGTCTGTCCAACACTGGACATGTGATGTTATCAGTCATGCGTAACACCTTGGATCCATTTTCTGTGATCCAGAGCATCTTATTGGCTGTCTTGTCATCCAGGGAAAGGTTGATCCAGTCTGTGGTGTGTGTCGAAAGTTTACAGCAATAATGGAGAGAAAAGGTAAACTACGTATTGAGAGAGCGGGGAACAGATTTTCTGCTAACATTGCAAGCGAATTTAAATGATTGTTCTTACGTTTTAGAAGATCAGCTCTGCTTGTGGGCTCAGGGATGTTGGGCTCATAGTGTGGGATGTTTTCTGAGAGATGAGAAAAGTGTCATTATAAAAGGGAAGCCGACGGTGATAAAACAATGACAGCAGAGCTAAGCCTTGTGCAGTGTGTTTAAAGAGTGTGTGAAAGCAATAAATCTTCCATCACTCGCTTTAAAAACTCACCTGTAGGAGAAGGCTTCTGTTTGGGTTTTTTCCCTGTGAAAACAGAGCAGAGTATAACCTCCATTTATTCTGTGCTCATCGATTATTTCGGTTCCTAAGTTTAAGAAACTGAACACCACTTCAAGCTTTCTTCTTCGTCAAGCAACATCTATGGAGGACTTAAAGGATAGAGTTCACTCACCAAGTCTGCCGGCTGCCGGCATTATTCTCGTACTGGGAGCACTGGTTGGCATCTTGATCGTTTCTTGCCCTGTCGAGGTTTCCTGAATGTCGGCGTCTGTCAGTGGCGTACTGCTACCATGATGCAAGTGGTTTCCTTATATACCCTTAGGAAAGAGGGTATTAAAGGTTTTGGGGGGCCCCTAAGGCTCCCTAAGAGAAATTTTGGTAAGGTATGTAGAGATAAAGTGCTCACTGGTAGGCGTGCTACAGAGGCGGCCAAACCAGGACATGCACGTCAGCGCCAGCAGCTGACCCCCTGACCCATATTTATCTGAGGAGATCTGAGTTTGCTTTTGCCATTATCCTGTCATCTCTTTGTAATCAAACACACATCTTGAAAATCAATGCCCCAGGAATCAGGCCATCCTGTTCTGAGCAGAGGAGTGGATGGAGTGACCTTTTACAAATGGTGATGGAGATAAGTTCAGTGGGACTTGCTTGGAGTGAAGTTTGTCAGTACTGTGCGCTTTTAAAGACTTGTAATACAAGGGAAAGGTTTAATCCCTGTAAAACAGGTTTTATACTGCACTTGATATCTCTTTTGTGTACTTTAGTTAATTTTGTGGTAGATGTGGACACCTTAATAATATGCACTTGGTAGATTTTACATCTTTTCACATTAAGCAAATAAAATAAAACAAATTCCACTTCGTTCCACCTTAATGCAAGATATCTGACCTATAAAATCTCTGAAGGGATAAAACTGCAGCCATGTGGCAGAGATTTGCTCGTCTGTCACCACTGCTTCGAAAGCCTGATGCCTCTGGTTTATTACTGTCGTATGAGAGGAGATCAGGAAGAATTCAGACGTACACGCAATCCCATTATCCACGCTCTGCTCGCTCGTCTTTATTTCAAAGTTTCCCACTGGATGCTCGGGGGCAGTTTTGACACTGTAGTGCCTGGTATGTGCCAGTATGTTGGCTGCGATGTGATCAGCGCTGCAGTCAGTCAACTGCTTGGGCAGACAGGAACACAAGAAGGACGAGGCAGCCTTGACATGAGATTTGGCAGAGTGCCGGAAACAGTAAACACCTCAGACACGCACCCCGCTGCGGAGAGGTGATCACAAGAATGAGTTTACGAGCAGCGACATGCTTTTTCTTTTAACCCAGTCCGTGTGCATTAAGGCATCTGTGATTGTTAATGGCTGATGTGATAATGCAGGGCAAGAGCAGAGATTGGCATGGCAGGACGAATCGAGGAAACTCCGGTCAAATGACTCGCAGTGTTGGTATATAGGTCAAGCTGTACTGTATTCATACATGTAGGCATACGTACAGACGTGTAAGTATAAATATACCTGTTAAGTGTGGATGTTTTATATTTAACTGCAAATCAGGGTTACACAGTGCATCCTCTTGTCATGTTAATGCAGGTTCAGACATTGTACTTGAATGTGGTACCATAAGTTATAATGATTTGGAATACTTTATAAAGGTACAGTTTTACTATATAGTTATACCAGATGAAACCTAATTTGATCTTAAGAAATTCATTCAATTGTATCAATTAAAGCTTGAACAAATCACAAGTTAACCAGATTTTTTAAAAAAAACAAAAAGTAGGAAAAATAGTAATAAACACAGGAGAAAAAGATGACATAGAAGTTATATGTGCTGCAGCAAGAGCAGTTTTATTGGTAATAATAATGAACATCCATCCATCCATCATCTATACAGACAACCAAGCACACTCACATTCACACCTACAGGCAATTTAGAATCACCAATTAACCTCAACATGTTTTTGGACTGTGGGAGGAAGCTAGAGAACCCAGAGAGAACCCACACTGCATGGGGGGAACATGCAAACTCCACGCAGAAAGATCCCGGGTGTCTTTACCAGGATGCGAACCGGCGACCTTCTAGCTGCAAGGCAACGATGCTAACCACTGATCCACCCTGCAGCCGATAATGACCATCAATCTCTAATACAGTTTATATGCACTCATTGGCCACTTCTTTAGGTACACCTGCGAAATCTAAAGTAATCAAACACAATGGCGCTGCAAAGAATTCTACGCTTGCGAAGCTTCTACATGTTTTTTTGCAGTGTTTGTTGACATCAAAAAGTTAATAATTCAGCTTTATGTTTATTATTGAGGTCACGATGGTGGTGGTGGTGGTGGTCTGCATTACATGTAAAAGTGTTGCCTCTTCTGTCTGTTCATAGGGTGGACAAAATGTCATTCATTGATTATCTTTTTAAACAAAACTAAAAATGTGGAACAGTAGACGTTATGTCAGAGCTGTTGTCCTGGACTGCTTTAGATTTCACGTGTCTACCCGATGAAGTAGCTCGTCTGTGTATTTTTACACTTTCAAGTGAAGTTACACACTAATTCTTCTTCAATTTGTTATATTCGCACGCAGCTTGACGTCTAACACCAGGAATTGTCCGGTGCAGATTTACATCTTTGCAGCTACATACTCAGAATTTGTTTGTGTGTGTAAGGGTATGTATGCATGTGTGTGTGTGTGTGTGTGTGTGTGTGTGTGTGTGTGTGTGTGTGTGTGTGTGTGCTTGCATAAGCCACGCATCCCATCCAACATCAGTGCTGTCACTGTGTGCAACGTGAAGGGATCAGTGGTAGGGATGTAGACAGAGCGGAGGCGGGGTTTACTTGGTAACAGGGGGTGTCTTACAAACATCGCAGCATCCTTCTGACCTTTTTAAGGTAAAAACATACATACACAGCTCCAATTACAAAACCTCCTGCCCCCCCCTTCTTTTCTATTGGCAAGTGTTCTCTCACGCTCACGTCCACGCCACCCGCTATAATTCCTTCACCCCTGTCCTTCATTAAAGGTATATAAGAGCTGCATTAAGCTGTCACAGAGTCCAGCCGACAGAGACTCATCCCACTCAGAGAGGCCCAAACAGACTCCTGCAGCAGCTTAAACCGTTAGTCCAACCTCAAGCCGGTATCAAGATGCCTACCACCACCAGAATCATCTCTAACACCCGGAAGACAGATAAAGGTGAACTTTCTGCATTTCACACAATCTACTTTTTTTTTTAACACACTTCTCTCCTGAAAAATCAACATTTTGTACAAATGTGGTGACATGTAGTTTTTAGGGTGTTCAAACCTTTAAATAATATTGCAGCGTATGTGGATTTTAGACAGCAGTGATGCTTTAAATGCACTGATTTAATAACCTACTTGTGTCTACAGCAGTGAGGCTTTTTTATTATCCTCTGAGGCAGATCCTGAGTGAATGGGTCACTAGAGTTTATGTCTGTGTAGAAAATGCAATAATTCACTGAGTGATTTCATGCTTGTCATTATGAGGGGCGTATAATGGCTTTATTGCCTGGGAGCAAAGGGTCCGCAAGTGTCAACATCCTCTGTATTAAAAAAGATTTAACATGCCGTGCTGCATGCATTTAACACACTGTACGGAGAGTGTAATGCTGCTCTAGTGAATGGGTGACATTCAGCAGGGTTGTAAGCATCAGCCTCTACTGAAGATCCAGCATTAATACGATGAAAGCAAGAAGAGAAGTCAAAGGATGAGGAAGGGATAATTACAAACGAACCTGTAGCATGACTTACTAAAGAAATTGCTGTTTCAAATAAGAATTAGCATTTTAAATGAAAGTAATCCTTTTCTACACAAAACAAAGAAATGCTGAGCGAAAAATGCACCTAAAGTAAAAAGCACTGAAACAGAAGAGGAGTCGGTCACTTACAATCGAAAAATATTCTGACAAATCCCGCCACAACTTGACTAATAAGCCCCTTATGGATTGTCACAACAAGGCTGCATTTAAGCTTAAATGTTTAGTAAAGTGTCAGGTTGTAATGAGGCCAGACAATGCAGTTATTTTCACCACCTTGTGCTATATCCAGACAGGTGGCTTAACATTCCCGCATAGTGTCTCTCAGCCTCCAGTCAGCGGAGAGATAAATATCAACTCATTTGGACGTGACATTCATACTGAGTGGCGTAAAAATAACTGTTAAGTTCGAAAAATGTGAATAACGATGACAAGCAGATTCATGTGCTCTGGCTTGAGTGCAGCTTCACCTTGAACCCTCGGCGCTGACGACACCGTGCAAAACTTTTACCCTTGAACTTGAGGGTTTTTTGATTTTTTTAAAGTTGCAACATTCGCTGATGATTTTTAATGTGTGGATGGACCAGGAGGTAATGTCGCTTGTTGGTATAAATAAATCACATTACTTGTGTTTGTCACCGCTGACATCTTAATGCTGCCAGGATTAACTGTCTCCTCCTCTTGATCCTCGTCCTTAAAACCCGGCGACTGCATTGCTGACACATGATACCAAAGTATTAGTTACGGAATTGGCATTAGGGCAAAGCCTGTAATGTAAGTGGTATTAATCGGTTATTACTTCAGGGAAAGTTATGAAACAATGCGGATGTCTGCTGTCGAACATAATTAGAAATCTAATTGCTGTTAGGCTTTTGATTATTTTCTGTCTGGATTGCTTTCTAATGATAGTCATCTGCGTTATTAGTTTAGGGTTTACCAAGTTGCATGTGTTGCAGATCACATAAGCTATACTTTACTACAGCTACTTGTGATTTGAGACCACATTTTGAATGCAACTTTTTGGACTCTAAAATCTCCTGCTTGATATGAAGAAGCCAGCGCTGCATCTACAACCCCCAGCTTTTCTGATTTGTCTGAGCAGATCATGTCGCGCTTCTCATCTCATAATCTGCTCTGAGCTTCTAGTGTGACTTGAAGCCAACCCTATAGCATGTGAGGTGTCTTGGTATTTCCAACCGGCCGGCATGAATCAACCACTGGGTCCAGAAAGCATGCGGCTGCTGATGTGATGATCTGACAGAGGCAGATGGTTTTCTAAGTATACATCGTTTTGCAAAGGCTCACTTCATCATCTGTGGAGACACACCGGACACCCACCAATGCACACAGTATATGTGACAGTCAAGAACGTTTATCTTAATGTAGGCAAAAATAATGATGTTTTCTTACTTTCAGGAAAAAAAGTCAAAGGTGGAAACGCACCTACAGGTAGGACAGTAACACTATCACAGGCTTGATTATAGTGTTTTTTAAAGTTTCTCTCCTAAACTTGTCAACATATTGTGACATTTTACTGTTTTTTTTACTCCTTAGAGAAGATCCCAGTCTATGAGCCAAATATCCCTGAACCCAAATGCAGAGCTGATCTCATCAAACGTAAGAATATCTATGTTTTTATCTTTTTTATACTTTAGTCCTAACACAATCTTCTGTTAAATAATAGTTTATTCCTTTTTTTCCAGACTGGATTACCTTGTCCTTCGACGACAAGACAGCCAATAAGATGCTTTGGATCACAGATGGCGGTGCCAAAGTGGCCCGTATGACCGATGATGTGACTTGTCCCGTCTTGGACAGACCAGAGCGATATGAGTATTCTCCACAGGTACAGTACCTGATGATGTAATCAGATTACTCTGGCCAGAAGTGACATAATTTACCTTGTTTACAGTTTTGAAGATGATGTAAAAGGTGCCATGAACTCATCTCCTCGCAAGTGGAGTCTGATGTAGTTGTAAAACAGAGTAAACAATTTTCTGTACTCGTGGTCTGCTGAGTTTATTTAAAACCTGAACCAACGGGTTTGGTGTTACTACCAGGAGAAAGCAAGGCTGCTTGAAATTCTTCTAAGTGGCAGCTACAGTAAATCATAGGTTCTGTTAGATTACCTCTGAATTACGCTGACATTCCCATCCACATTCCAAAAGGTTCTTTGCAAAGAAGGCATCCTGGGCTTCCGCGGCTACTGGGAGGTGGAGTTTTCAGGATGGGTCGTGGTCGGAGTGGCGTTCGAGCGAGCGGGCAGGAGGAACACCCACGGATCCTGCGGCCTGGGAGAGAACGAGGAGTCCTGGGGTCTTGGATGGAGCGGCTCTGTTTATCATAGCTGGCACAACGGCCGCACCACCGAGATCATGGAGAGCAATAAGTCCTCCATAATAGGTGTTTATCTTGACCAGCCTGCTGGCGTCCTTAATTTCTATTCTGTGGAGGTGAAAGAGGGAGAGGAGGGAAAGGAGGTTAAACTTCTGCAGCAGATTAAGAGCTCCTTTAAGGAGAAATTGTTCCCAGGTTTCTGGGTGGGGACACAGTCTCACTGTCTGCTCACAAAGAAGGAGGAATAAACTGAACTAGTATTATAAACTCCTATGTAATAGTCAGCAGCTACCAGTATGGCAGCTTTAAACACAAAATGACTGCACACAACAACACAGTCATTTAACATTTGTTGTCCATATAACTGGAACTTTTACTAACATAGCATAGACTTGCACTAAATTGTACGCTTATTGCATTAGAGTTAAAACATATATGCACCACATATAAAATATATATGTATTTTTCTTAGATACAGTATAACTGTGGCAGACATATAGTAAATGGTTTTGTACATTTCAATAAAGGGAACAAAGTGCAGTCAGGTAGGGATTCAGTCAGGCTTCACCATTGACCGTCCACTCTTACGGACTTTCCTGAAACCACCGGACCACTCAAGGTTTATACTGATATATTTCTATGTATATTTATTCCGCTATTTTTGTTGTATGTATATGGTGACCTGGATTGTTATGAGTGTATGTGGAACATTAAATATGCAGAAGTTTAAATAAATAATAAAACACTGAGGAAGATGCATTTGCTCCTTGTTTTTTTTGTTTTTTTCTAACTCATTAACATGATGAAGACAACAAAAAATATGCAAAAAGCAGACTAACAAGGTGTTTGTTTGACTTCACATGATGGACAAGATCACATTTTTAGTCCATATTTTATTTGGATAGGCCCTTAGCAGTATGTACGATCCCACATAGTAGATGTAGTGTTGGAAATGACAAAATGAAAACACTATAAACCCCACTTTTGCACACATGCTTCTGTCTTCTGGCACAATCAAAGGTGATTTATATTTAATCTTAGCTGGTCTTCAAGTTATTAAAAAAAATTCAACAGATGCCACAATCAAAGGAATTATTAACTGAAACATCTGGTTTCTTTTTAAGCCAAGTCTTTTCATACATGTTCGCACACAAAGTCTTAGCATGTGTAAGAATTAAAAATAGATGCATTATGGTGGATTTGATCTGTCACGTAGTTCGTCTTCTTGTCTGGTTTGTCTGTGTTTATGCAGTTCTGCTTCCTCCCCTACCACTCGCGCTGACAACACTGACAACGAGAGTGTCTGAATGTTTCTATCAGTCGTGTCTGGGACTGTCTTCTTGCTCTTTTGGAAAGTCTCTTGGAGCGTCAGTGAGATCAAATATCTGCTGGAGTCACTCTTATCCATATGTCAAAGTCAAGTGCATGGCCCCTTTTACCTCCCGCTGAGCACTCGTCCCACTGACCCCAACACCTCTTTCGGACCCTTCTATAGCCAACCTCATCATTCCTGAGAGTATAAAAGTCAAGTGAAAGACCAGGACCTTGCACCTCTGGGTGGAAAAATTTTGAAGCCTCTGCACGTGGATTAGTAGCACACTGCCTCAAGATGCCAAGTGGACCCAATTCTACGCTATTCATCTCAGAGACCAGCAGACCAGGTACACATAATGGAAAAGTATAATATTAAAATGGCACATCAATTAATCTGCATTGAAGCAAACATATATATACTAGTATTTTATCAACAGGGTGTGTTATCATCTGCTTAGACAGTGATGGTCAATTAATGCCTGTATGAGTGGCATTAATGGTACTGATTTTCAGAAAACAAGCTCAGTAGAGCACCTAATAACTGAATTTTTCATAGACTATTTTTAAATTAATATCCCAAGTATCAAAGCAGTAAAATCTTGGGACTAAACCATCACCTATTGCAGTAAAGAATGATGACACAACTTTTGCAGAATGAAACCATGACTGTAAACTGTGACTCAATGTGTGCAATCACGTTTCTCGTTTATTTGTTTCCATAAATTTACCGTGATGGAAATGTAACACATGAGACCATTTGTAGAGCTTCTTCAGCTGCTAGGCCTGTCAGTGTCAGGTTATTACTTCACATGAGGGCTTTTAGATTCATTCACAATGGGTCCAACTGTTCTGAATAATTTAGTTTCAACATTTTTTTTTTTAAACTCAAGATTAATGTTTCATGTCGGGTAAGGTGCTGTGATTTGATGTGAAAAGAATGCGTGCGGTTTAACCTTTGACCTTTACATCTTTAGGCAAGAAAATTAAATCCAGCAAGAATGAAAAGACAAAAGCAGGTAACGGATTCCACCGTCTACATTTTAGCTTTTCTGTGTTGTCTATTCTCGTATTTAAGCTTGTTTCCTTTCCTTGCAGAAAAAGTTTCCGTTTATTTGCCAAATATCCCAGAGCCAACGTGCAGAGCTGAGCTCATGCAGTGTAAGATCAGACTTTAACTGTAAATTCTGGAAATAATACTGAATGACACAACTCATTCAAGACAGTTTGCAATGATAAGAATATCATCATTGTTGGGTTTTTTTCCTCCCCTACAGACTGGATGAATTTCTCTTTGGATGATAAAACTGCCAATAAGATGTTGTGGATTTCTGACGGCGGGTCTAAGGTGTGTCGCAGGACTGAGGAGGTTTGTCCTGTCTTGGACAGACCAGAGAGATACGAGTACTCTCCACAGGTAAATCACAGACTAATAGTGCTCCAGGATAACTGGTGAAGAGACTGATTTATTATTTATTCCTTTTTCTTCTTTTTCATCAAAGGTGTTGTGCAAAGAGGGCATCTGGAACATGAGGGCTTACTGGGAGGTGGAGTACTCTGGATGGGTGGTGATCGGAGCCACCTACGAAGGAGCAGGAAGAAGAGCAAACTCTGGACCGAGCGGGCTCGGAGAAAACGAGGAGTCTTGGGGCCTGTGTTGGTCGGGAACGTGTTACCAGATCTGGTTCAACGGCCTGAACAAAGATATAAAAGACGTCCCATTTTGCTCCACAATCGGAGTTTACGTCGACCAGCCTGTAGGGATCATCAGCTTTTATGTTGTGAGCGGTGAGGGAGCAGAGAGGGAGGTGAAGCTGCTGCATAAAGTTAAAACTACCATCGAGAAAAAGATTCTTCCTGGTTTCTGGATGGGAATTCAATCCTCATGCACCTTAGCGAAGAGAGCAGAATGAGCTGCTGCAGCTAAAATAAGTCAGATATGTGCTGATCGTGCGACAGGTTTTGGCACTTAAGTATTGCATGTCGATAATGTTTTCCTCACTATTCCTTTAGTTGTTATTACTTCACATCTAAAGTAGGTTTCAATCACACTTAGTCTACATTTTATCACCAGGATAAGTCAGGATTACTTATGACTTGCTACTGTTTTTTTCTATTTTTGTTCTTCTATAACGTATGTGTGGTTCTATAGCATCACAATGGATATTGATGAACTGATTATGATTTTACTACATTCATTTCATTCTATTTAGATGAAATATTTGCAACCTTTTAAAATGAACTCAGCACCTTTTGTGTCTGTGGTCATTTTCCAACATGCTTCGGATAAGGTGTACAGTGTAAACTATGCACAATGTCAGATTTAGCTTAGCAAAGAACAGGGAGGGAAAATCGCTGCCCTCTGGGTTAAAGGGGCTCACTTTGATATGTGAGAGCTTCCAACTTGAAGATCAGCTTCCTTCTTTGACAGGGTGGTGGGGCCTCCAGTCCTGCCACTTTCACGCCTAAAGCATGAGCTTTGAGGGAACTAAAAGTGGGGCGCACCGGCAAACTGAAAACATTCACACTCCTGCAGCCACCCGCGCGTCACACTACCTCCTTCAACAAGCACCGAGGAGAGCCCCAGTGTGCGACTACACGACTCCTGCCAGTATTTCACACACTATAACTGTTTTCGTTTGCCCTGCACGTCAACCTGTATGTCATTGCAACCTACAGCCTTCCATGCATGGAATCGAATTGAAATAATCTGTATTAAAATGTTTTTTGTAATAAAAATCTGCTTTATATGTTTGTTTATACGGTTGCCATTGTCATCATTTCCTGACAACGAATGCAAATGACAGTAAATCTCCATAAATCTCCCTTTAAAGACTGCAGTTGAATACTTAAGTAAAACAAACATATACTTCTATAACAGTCGGTGTGTGTAACCCCTTAAAGTATACCTGTGATCAGATACCACCGAGTGTGATTTACACAGCGGTTGCTGCGATGAGTATAAGTGAGAATTTACAGTCAGTGATCTGTGCAGTTAAACCTAAATGACAGGTACAAACATCCATCGCGGACCAAAGAAAACAAAACTGGAGACCGCGATCCAAGAATAATCGCACTCAGAGCGCTGCTGCCCTACATGTTGTGTATGTGCATGCTTATGCCAGGCATGTGAGTGAGCGGTAACTCTAAGCTTGTGTCATGAGCAAAGCGATATAAGCGATACAGGTGACACATATAGCATGACATGGAATGGATGGGGGTGACCCACATTTCATTCTCATGTGTTCATATGTTTAGCAAAACAATATTGACCGAATACAAGGGAGTTAAAACGTCACGTGAAAGTTTGAATGTTAAAGTGCAAATTGACAGTTTTTCTCTCCTATGAAGTGAGCGATTTATCGACTCCATTTTTCTCCGTTGTCTTCTTCAGCATCCTCACCTCAAATGGAATTTATGAGCTTCACTTTAACAGCAGCTTGACAAGTTGCAGTCAGTAGCCGGCTCTAAATTACTCTGACTCCATGTGCTCCCGTTATATTATTCCCATCTGGTCCAGCACCAGCCTATCAATGATATGCAGCGCTCATTTATTCTGACTCTATTGGTCCCAGCTGATTTGCTGTCATGTAGCTACTGGCCCACTTTCAAACTGTCGACAGGCTAGTCTGGCCTGGAGGCAGCGTTGGTAGCATGTTGCTCTCCTTCTTTCCTCGTGATTGTATTTAGTAGATTAAAATGTAGTGTTGAGTTTAAATTGGTTCTGTTGAAACTGACAACTGGTATATCTACACTTGCAGAGGTGTCGCTTAATATAGAAGCTTGTATAACTCAAACCATACAGTGTTTTTTTTATGCTGTTACTGGACAAAGTACTTCACATATAAAACCTTATATTGCAAAGTAAAATGGAAATTGCCAGTTCATTTGAATTTATAGGCCTAGTTAGTAGCTGTGCTTTTCCTCAAGTACAAAC